GAACCCATTTAATGTATGAATATATCTCAGGATATGTCATACTACATCTGATAAGACTGGGTTTGTTAAAACCGTCAGGTTTCTTCAATGTTAGGCGGATGCTTGACGTGCTGTACACTCCTGGCCCACCTGAGCACACCTGTGACAAAGTCATTCTTTCACATGCAGAAAAAGCGTTCCATTAGGTGGAGTGGGATTACCTCTTTGAGACTTTAAAGTTATTTAAATTTGGTCCCAAATTCATATCATGGATGAAGCTGACATATTCCTCCCCAATGGTGGCAGTCCGCATCAACTGTAACATATCTTCCTATTGTAAACTGCAGCGGGGTACGAGACAGGGGTGCCCACTCTCACCACTTCTATTTGCGTTGGGAATAGAACCATTAGCTGTAGCTTTAGAGCAGAATTCCATCATTAAGGGGATAACCTGACGGTATAGAACACAAAGTCTCTTTATATGCAGATGACATGCTTTTATATATATCAGACCCCCTTACCAGTGTCCCTGAGTTACTTAACTTGCTTGAAAAATTCGGGAGATTATCTGGTTATAAGGTTAACTTTCAAAAGAGTGAACTGATGCCTATGACCTCTCTAGAAAAGAAAATCTTGGCCACCATTCCCTTTAAATTTGTTTAAAAAAATTAAATACCTTGGGATCTGGGTAACTCAAGACCATAGGAACCTCTATAAAACCAGTTATTTACCTCTCATGGCAACCATTAAGCAGGACATTGACAGATGGCAGTCTCTGCCTCACACCCTAGGGGCAGAATAAACTCCGTAAAAATGAATATACTACATAAATGTTTATATTTGTTTCAGAATCTGACAATTGTCCTTACTAAATCCTTCTTTACCAACCTGAACAGCCAGATATCCGTGTTTATTTGGAATAAAAGGCATCCACGGATTGCCAAGAGGGTCTTATGTCTGGCCCGCAGACTTGGAGGTTTGTCGCTTCCTAACTTCATGCACTATTATTGGGCAGCTAATGTCAGAACTCTTCTATTCTGGTGGTAAGAACACCCCTTCTCCTAGTTGGGTGGCCCTGGAAAAGGCTTAAATTAAATCCAGTTCCCCTTCTGAATTACTCTGCTCTCGGCTGTCCTTTAAACAGTCGATATCAACCTACACTTCTAACCTGTTGTGATCCGGGTGATTCAGATTTGGAACCAGTTCAGGAGGGCATTTAACTCTACAGAGTGTGAAATACAACCTGACCCCTCAGAGCTGAGTAAAATGAATATCACACACATACTGAAACTAAATAACTTCATTTAAATCTTCATTAAAAAAAACTTTTAGAGCAGGGTTGTTCAACTGGCGGCCCGGGAGCAAAATCCGGCCCACAGGTGAAAACAGAAACTGATTTTACTGTAGAGTTTCTCAGAACTGCTTATCCCCAAATTTATGTCAGTTATTTTAACGCACTGCACCTTTAAGACTTAATGATCATGTTGGCCTTGTCTCAACTCTCATAAACTTTGAATATCTCGAATGATGAAGTTTCCATTTTTACAACGAATAATTTTTTAATAGGTAACACAAAATAACAAACCCCTCCTAGTCTTTTATTGCTCTGTTTATAGACATTAATGTAACAGAACCTTTGTCACTGAAGTTTTACTTTAAAATGTGTTTTTAAATGCATTTATCAATCAGCCATAACATTATGACCAAAGGCAAAGTAATGTCTTGTTATAGCAGTGTTCCTTGCATTCATAAAATAATAATAAATGAAGCTGTAACAACAACAGATGAAACAATAAAGAACTTTCTAATTATATGTGTCACTTTGTTGAGCGTTTACTATAATTTTTCTAATAAACTCACAAGCAGAAAGCACTCCCCTTCTTTTTGCATCCTTGTTTTGCAGCTTGATGTCAGTCTTCCTGCCAACAAAGTGTCTCTGGAGGAATTATATATATATTTTTTTACATCTCTTGGCCTGGAATGTTATCCTACTTGGCAGCTCGCACAACATCCTTAACTCTGTAACCCCCCAAAACGTTTCAGTGAGAAGTTTCTCCTCATGCTGTTCTGTTTGACTCATCCAAGAAGCCCACTAATTACCAGTTTTCCACGACACACCCCAGTTTCAAAAGTCAAGACAGAGGTTGTTTTTTGTTTTTGACATAAATTAGTTTCATCGACCTCCTCCAAAAAGAAAAAAGGAATCAAACTGCATGTATTTTGATGTCATAAATCATTTCATACCATCATCAGAAATGATTCTGGGGTTGTTTACAAGTAAAAAAAAAAAAAGGCGATGGATTTAAGAGAACAAATCCATTGCATATTTTTATGTTTCTGGATTGTAACTTAAGCTCCTCTTTGACTGAGCTGGCCCTGTCTGCACATACGTTGTGAACTTTTCCTAAATAAGCTGGAAGTAATCATTTTTTTAGTCTAATGCAAAAGTGATCTGCTGTTGACTGGTTTAAGGATGATGGGTTATTTTAAGTGCTGATACAGCAGGATGAGTGATTTTAAGACACTGGTGTTGTAGAAACATTCGCAATTAGCAATACAATCTTTGACGAGAACCTCAAATCCATTAGTGAAAGTGTTAAAGGGATAGTTCTTTTTTTTTGGAAATAGGGTTCTGCAGAATGATAATGAAAGATTTGTTAAAAAAAAATCTGTTAGAATGGCGTCAGCTCGGAGAATTACGTTTTATTCTGAATGAACTGACAACATAAAGACTAATCTGAACTGGGATTGCTGCCATTTTAAATCAACTCCCTGTTATACAGTGGAAAACAGAATATTGTGATTTTCATACAGGAAGTGCTGCAGATTGTACCAGAAAGTACATAACACTGTAATGTTAAAATGAAGGTGATGTAAAGATTTATAAAATAGCATTCACAAAAACCACAATTTAAACAAATGGAGTTGTTTTAAAGGCACTGCCTTTTTCTGGCTCAGTCTAGCCATTAGCTCATCAGTCAGGTCAGAATTAAACAGTTTTTTTTAAACTGAGATTGTTCAAACCATCACTGTTGTATGGTATTGTGGGTTTTCGTTAAAGGTCAGGCTGTTTTTGCACAAGTGGATTTAATTATTTCTATCATAATTCTGCTTTTTTGAATCTGGCTGCTTGATTTTTGCTGATTATACAGTTTGAAACTGTTTTTATGATTTTTTTTCTTGGTTTTGTAATATGTGAATTCAAGAGTTTTTAGTATTTCCTGCTCTTCACCTTTCATTAAAATTCCTTTTAGTTTAGGTTTACTTACCTGTTTCAGCTTGTCCACTCAAGACGCTGCACCTTTCACAAAGAGCTAACTATAACAGGTAAGATATTAACTGTTCACAACCTATCCACTGAACCCCACTAAAATACATCTAACATACACACACGTATATTTTAAACTAAAAACAAACGGTACGTTTTGTAACAAAATGACACACACACACAAAGTTTGTAACAATAAACTATTTTCTTCTCCATATTTACATCTGTATCTAATGTGCAAATTAACAATTTAGTGTAAAACTCTTAAAGGAATACAAAATAATATCTTACAGTCCTAACATGGTGAGAGTCCATGAACTCTAGTCACGTAGAAACAAAGAGGAGCAACACTGCAGTGTGCACAGGAGAGAGACAGAAGCAAACGGAGGGAGCAGTGGACATCCTTGGCCAGGACACACTTGGTTAAGGACAGCATGTTATCCAAGCATCACCGGGACAAACAGCAACACAAACACTTGCATCTGTCAAAATGAGCGTAAAGCACTTGGAGGCCTGTATTTTATAATTATTTTTTTTAATCCCACTGATTGATTAAAGCACTAATGATCACAAAGGCTTGAAGGTGCTCATAGCAGCAGCAGGTGCTTCTTTTAACGGCCTCTAAGAAATGGAAGGAGGATAATCTCACACTGGACCGTCACCACGTGGTGCTGTTAGCATGACTGCACATCGTGCTGTTGGTGTGTGCGTGTGAGGTAAAGAGACATGTAATTACACTTCAGACAAAAACACATCAGCCTGCTGTCACGACTCACAGTTTGTCTCATCTAAACACATTTACCGAGTACTCAGAGCAACACACCATAAACACGGCGGATTTGAGAAGCGGATCAATTGACGTTACATCGTTCGGTGTTTGGCACAGAATATTTCAAGAATTTGGGTTTAAGTAAGCCAGCCTGGCAGTGCTTGTGGGTTTTAGAAGGTGGGTTACATGCGAAGATGTGAAAATATAGCTTACACGATAGTTTGGTGTCCAATTTTGACCCAACAAACCCTCCGGACATTGGTGAGAACAAAAGTACACTCAACAAAAGACGACTTATTTCATCCTAATCCAACGTTACAGTCTAAAATGTTTACACACTTTTAACTCCTGTGTGTCAAATCTGATTACAAAAAGCACACTGTGACATTCTTTTACAATTTACAAGACACAGTCAACTACAGGATCCATATTATTGGTGCATAGACAAGATTGGGGGCGAGTGTAGCAAAAAAGAAACACCGATTTATTGCTTTAAAGTCTAATATTAATCCCCCGTTTGATTTCTTTTTGATTGCAAAACAACTAGAAACATCCCGCCAAGACTTTAAAGACGCAGGCAGAGATATTTCAGTCAAACTGATTAAAAGAGCTAAAATGTTCCCTCCTGACGAGATGCAATTCTTCAGTAGTTCAAAAAAATAAAGACCTTTCTTGTTACATACAGAAAATTACACCACAGAGAGATAACTTTTACTCTAAAACAAGTAAAAGACTAAATTCAATGAGACGGAACGTAAATAAAATGATAATATCTGGCCAAAGCTGCTCACTGTTTCACGTTCTGCTTCCCCCATCAGAAAGTAAGACTTTTCACTAACAAGGGAGGGGTGAACAGGAACACACGAGCATTACTCGAGAAACTGGAAACTGTTTGCGATTGTGTAACTTCAAACACAGAGTGCAGATGGTGTCGTTCCCTTGAGTCTCCTGCAGGCCGTGCTGTGCCTGAAGCGGCGGTGGTAGCTATACAGGCCTCTGCACTTTGCTCTCCCTCTCCCTGCGTTTCAGCTCCTCCCTGTAGCAGTAGGAGCAGTAGTTGTCCGTCTCCGGCCTCCCGTAGAAGGAGCAGTTCTCCCTCTTGCAGCGGCGCTGCTGAAAGCAGTACAAAGGGCTTCCAGAGCTCCGCCCTTTGGTTTTTTCTTGGCCCAGCCAGCTGTGAGACACGTTGTCTTCGTCAGCGAACTCGAGGCAGTCCTGAATGTCTCCCGCGTTGAATCCGTTGGTGTAAGTGTGGGACTTGTGTTCGCCGGGCATGTTGTAGGCCAGGGTTTCCATGGTGTTAACAGTGCGGACCCCCGACAGGCGGGCTGGGCTGTAACTCTGGGATGAGAGGGTGCGGTTCTGCTGGGGGTAGGTAGCGCATGTTTTGAGGGTGCCCACCACGGGCTTATAGGGCTCATCTTGGAAGATGGAGGATTGCACGTTGACATCTTGTAAATGTATGACGCTGTGCCTCTGAATGGGCGGCGTATGGCTGTAATGGACAGACACGGGAACAGGCCCTGGTCTCTTAGCACCAATGCTGGGGGAGGAGTAAGGCGCGGGGGCTGGGTGAGAGATATGGTGGGAGGTAATTGGTGGGGTGAGAGGTGGGCCTGGAACAGAAACGAGCATGGCTGAGGGAGTGGGACTGTTTCTGCCCTGCGCCTTGAGACCCAACAGAGGCTGTGAGTTGTTGTAGGTGTGGTGAGGCAGGACGGGAGAGCAGCTCTCCGGAGGCGAACTGTCGGACCTCTCCCTCTGGAAGGTGCACTCGTGTTCCGGCTTCTTCGCTGCCACATCGTTAGTGGTGGGGGGCTTCTTTTCGGCCTCTTTCCTCTTCTGCTCCTGCTCTTGGCTGAAGCGCTCCTGGGCGTTGGTGAGATAGTAGCTGATCATCTCCTCGTGGAACTGGTGTCGATGGCTAGTGAGAAGGAGGCCTGCAAAGATGAACTTGCGCTCCCCCTGCATGGCAGCCCGTAGGATGTTGAGGCTGAGCTTGACATCTGTGCTGTACCTCCAGCTTTCCAGGGTCCTATCCCCTGAGTTTTTCCCTGCACTGTCCTGTCTCTCTGTTGGGGAGGAGCTAGAGGGTCTCTCTCCGTCTGTAGGGGAGGGACTGGTGGCTTTCTCTGAGGAGGTGGAGCTGGTAGAGTGGCCCGACTCCTCCTTGCTTCCCTTAGTTGCTTTGGACTCCTTCTTCTTTGCCTTTTCCCCTCCGTTGTCCCCATTACGACCTGAGCCAGAGTTAGACTTGTTAATCTTGCCGTGCACAAGTCCCCCAAGACCTCCCATGTTCTTCTTCAGCTTGATGCCAAGCGTTTTGCTGAAGCTTCCGAGTCTGTTGGCCACAGAATCAGTTCGACTCTTGTCTTTGTCTTTGCGCTGCTTTTCTTTGTCCTTCTCCTTGCTGGGCTTGCCCGTATTGACGTTCGAGTTGCTGCCGACAGACTCGCGGTCTGAGTCCATGGACTCGGCGAGAGACTGGACATCCTCACCTGCAGAGGCTGTGGGAGACTCTGGCTGAGCCAAGGGAGCCTGAGAGAGAGAGAGAGAGAGAGCACAAAACAGTTTTAGAAGTGGAGCAGTCCAACGAAACTCCCTTCACATAAATTCTCAGAAATTGTTCAAAAAGCACCAAATTGCTCCATATCAGATGACTCACCAGCCCATCCAAAAACATGAGAGGTTGTTGCATTCTGACACTAAATTAAACTGACTGATTGGACTCTGGGGTCTCAAGCACATCTGGAATGAGTGAGCCTCTCCAGTGGTTAAATAACCGTGACAAACACAACACGCATGCGAGGAAATACTAACCCTTGTTTCAGAAGGGATTTGGATCCATGTTACATTCATGTAGTTGTGCAGCAGGTTAAGTTTGGCCTCCAGAGACAGGATTAGACTGTAAAAAAGACAGATCTCTATTTTCAATTTCAAATATTTCATGACATGTTTTACAAGAGTTTTCAAGAAATTGACTCAGAGGTCTACAACCACTATTTAATGAAACCTCATAAATTGACAATAACTGCAATGCAGTATGAGACTATGTGAACTGGTGCTTCAAGATTTTTTTCTATGATGGTCTAGTTCAAATTTCAGCTTGTTAAAGAATTATCTGAACACTTGAATGAAAGGAATTTGAAACTGAAGCCCTTAAATAAGCTCTTATAAACTCAGAGAGGATGTTGCTGCTTTATATCTGAGGCCATTCCCTGGAAAGAGAACAGATTCCTGACGTGACTCACAATTTGTCCTCTCGCTTCTTTCTGTTTGAAGTGACAGAAACCCAGAGCTCATAATCAGAATTAAATCCTCTGCACAGAGCCTTGCAGCCAGACTGACAGATCTGCCCCAGCCTGCAGTTTGCACTCGCGCTCCGTGGAGCTCACTGTTACAGTGGAGCACCTCCACGTCCTTTTTGTTAAACAGCAACATCTGCTGAGGGACAAGAAGTTACCTGGCTAGCTTGGCATTATCATTGTCATCCCTTCCCCACTCCCAATCTCTGCCAGGATCCACTGCGAAATGGAGCGCCAGCAGCTTGTGCTCAGAGTCGGTCAGAGGGATAACAGCTGGAAGAAATGAAGAGCAGAACATTACTTTGGTCCAGCTTTAGCAAAAGATCCAAGGCTACTGTGCGTGGCGTCGTTTTTCACAACCAAAATTCACTTTCTGGAGTTATTTCTTGTCAACAAAGAATAAACAATCTAACATCTAGTTTCTTTTGGCTGAAAAGTGACCATGATCATTAGGAGTTGTTCATTCTAACAGAGGAGAAAGGCTTGAGTCAGGGTTTAAATGGAAATAATGAGAATAGTTAAAGAGTCTGATTTACTCCTAAAGATACAAATGAAATAAAGAATAAAAAGTAAACTTTTATGATATAAGAACATTCGCAGCTGCATGAACACTAAAAACAAACTGTGATGAGGTTCGTTTATTAGGAACTACATTGTGCCACGATGTTGCTGGAGCTCCATAATTTAGTGAATAAAATGTGATTATTACTGATATGGATGCAAATGACTAGAAAGGCAGAGTGACCTAACATGATGGTGGCTTAGAGCTGCAACAAGAAAATGTCTTCAAATAAAAAAAGGGATAAAACACAACAGTCATTTCCAAACCTGAATAGTTTAGAAAAACACAGCACCAAGACACTGAGCATGTTCTTTTAATTAAACTATAACATTTTGTGTGTTTTGTTGTATTTTCTGTTCATGTTAATTTATTGTGTTATGTGAAATTTAGTCTTCCCTCACTGTGTTCTAACAGTACTTACAGTCTGTGTTCTTACATATATTTTACATAATGATTTCTTCAATGTTTGTTTAGTTGTACAGTCGTCCCTCGCTCTACAGTGGTTCAGTTCTTGCAGCTTCACTGCATCTCAGATAAAAAAAAAAAAAAAATCTATATATATCTATATAAACCTAGAGAAAGCTAAAAATA